GGGTTTGGAGACATCCGAATGGATTGTTTGCGGCGGTTGAGGATAATATTCGTAACCTTCTGATAGCAGCGCCAGCGTGTTGTCGAGTGTTTTTTCCTCAGGTATCGGGGTTATAAAAGACATGGAGTTCCTCCTCTTAAGGATAGTTTAAGAAATCAGCAGCACGATCTTTTGCTTAGTCAATAGGGCAGTTTTAGTCGGATTAGAATAGCACCTATTTACCAGTATTAGGAACCGACACGTTTCTTATGCTTTATTAACCTTGTTAGCCTGCTGATTTAACGCCTGGAACTTGTTCACTCGGCTTACTCACCGAGTGGTTCAGCGGTACAGTGCCGAGCTCTCGTGTAGCTGGTCACCGGTTCGATCCCGGCGTCGACTCCAATTTTCTTCTTAATCATCACGGCGAGCGCCTCCGTGTACCCGCGGAGGCTGGTCGCCTTCTTCACTGCGGGTATCAATACCCGGCTCACTCACGCTTCGGAACGTGAGTGTCTTCTCGTATTCGCTCACGCTGTCGGGAACGTCTTCCAGCTGGAAGATGTGCAACTCGCAAATGTCCGAGGTGAAGGAACTCACGCCGGAATTCTACGCTAGCGACGGCTCCTTCTTGCGGAACAGAAATGGCTACGGACTGGGGAAACGACACGACCAACAAGCCGTGAACGACGTGCAATTACCCAAGTGGGCGCGTACACCCGAAGAGTTTGTCCGTATCCACCGCGCCGCACTGGAGAGCGAGTATGTTTCTCGTCATTTGCACTTGTGGGTCGACTTGATCTTCGGCTACAAGCAGAGAGGACGAGCGTCACTGCAAGCGAACAATGTCTTCTACTACTTGACGTACTATGGCGTCGTGGATCTGGATCAAGTGGAAGACCCGTTCTTACGGGAGTCCATGGAGCTGCAAATCGCGCACTTCGGTCAGTGTCCCATGCAGCTCTTCGCTACGCCTCACCCTCCACGACACGCAGCGTTTAGACGCAGTGCGTTAGGAGCTCCTGCAGCTCCCAGTAAGCCTGTGTCAGGACTCACAAGTCCGCCAGTCAGTGGAGGATTCCCGGGCAAAGAGAGCTCCAGTGGACCATCCAGCAACATCCCTCGACCGCTGTCTCTAGCGTTCCAAGACTTCTCACCCATTGCGCAGGAGAAGCGTCGACATTGGAGTCCCGTGGCGACTGTGAAGCCTATCGCACAGAGCGGCATTCGACTGCTGAAAATCCTCCCGGATCGCGTCGTTAGTGTCAACGAGCTTGGCGTCATTGAAGTGTACTACTGGAAACTGTTACCCAAGCCTGCGCCGCCAGTAGCTGCGGGCTCGGCGTCGCCGAAGATGCCGCTGAACACGCTCGCTGCTGATCCTAGCGATGGGATGGACCTCGGACGAGCCAGCTTCTCCTCGGTTACCGACGGTCAACGCGACAGTGAAGTGGATACGCTACTCACTGACTTGGCTGCAGCTAGTGACGACGATGCAGTCAACGATTGTCCCTGGCTACTGGAGATAGTGCGAGATGATTCTCCGTTCGAGTACGTGCCAAGGATCCCGGTGTTCGACCCCGTTCACCACGACGATGAGAGTCGAAATCTACAGCGATATTCGCGTGGGTTTCCTGTGGGTATCTCTCGAAATGGACGTGTGCTGGTGTCTGGAGGAGCAAGAAGTGGCGCCCTGCACTTCCGTCTGCTGGATCTGGACAATGGACACGTGATTGGCAAGGCCAGCGTGGTGGGACACAGTGCTGCAGTCACGTGTCTGAGCTTGGATCGCTGGAGCTATCACAGTCACAGTCAGGTCGCCGTCTCGCCGTCACAAGAAGACGAAGAGCTGCTCGTCTCTGGGTCGCAAGACGGGACACTGGCGCTCTGGCGGCTCTCGCGTGTCAAGCCCGATTTGCTCTTCCGACTACCGAAAGTGTCGCCACGTCCGATCCTGATCTTACGCGGACATGCGACGCCTCTTGTGGACTGCTGCGTGAGTACATATTTGGGCGTTGTGGCGTCTTGTACACACTCGGTTGGCATGGTGCATTTTCTGTACGATGAAGGACAAGTGGCGTTCGTGTTCGAACCGGCCGAACAAGAAGGCGAACTTGCACGCGTCCGGTTGTCAGTCAAGGGATACGTTATCGCTATCACGAGTGTTACGCGGATTGTTACAGAAAGTGTCGTGATCTCGAGTATCGTCCAGATCTTCAACCTGTCGGGCGTGTTGATCCAGTCGCATCATCTTCCGGCCGAGGAGATCTCGGACGTGCAAGTGTCAGCAGAAGGCGACTTGATCTTCCTCACACTCGTGCCCGGTATCATTCGTATCTGTCGCATCGAAGAGTACGTTCAATCGTTCATTTCTTGTCGGATGTGTACTAGTGTTAACATTTTCTGTACGCACAGCTTCGTGACGGTTCAAGAGTACATTTCGCCCACCCCCACAGGATCCATGATCTCTGCCATGTGCCTCGGTCCTAAAGAGGCTGTGATCCTGCTGGCTTCAGGCCACGAAGACGGCACCTTGTCGCTCCAGTTGCTGCCGGACGCCAGCGGCTCCGTGTCCTTTCTGGCCAATGTACGTCGTTTATTAGGTGTGTCGTCCAAACTCAAGCGCGTCAAGGGCACTGTACAACACGCTCAGACACTGGCCATGTCCACGATCGACAACGCCAAGGCTGTCACCAGCACAGCGCGTGATATCGCCGGTGAAGCTCTCGGAGAGGCCAAAGTCATGATGCGTGGCCTTTTTTCGTACTTACAGAAAGGGTAACTTGAAAAAAAAAAATGTAGCCAATTGCTCGTGCACACGTACGTCTCTACCGCCACTTTTCTAAGCAAAAATGTATCCATTTTCATCTTTAACGGCTACTTCAGAACTTTATTGTCATTCGTGAACTTACGTGTGCGTCCCCATGGCGCCTCATGCCGACGAGAAGGAGATCCAAGGGGAGAACACGACGCTGCTCCCCACCAAGGAGCTGGCAGCTCGCCCGCAGTACCGCTCTATCATCGTGAGCGTCTGCTCTTTCATCCTCGTGACCGAGTTCTGCGAACGTCTGGCCTATTACGGTCTCTCGGGGTCTCTCCCGATCTTTTTCCACCGGAATTTGGGGCTCAGCACTGTGCTGGCCACCGAGTTGAACTCGACCTTCACGTCGCTCTCGTATCTGACGCCGCTGCTGGGCGCGTACGTGGCCGACCGCCACTTGGGTCGCTTCAACACCATCATTCTCTTCTGCTCCCTGTACATCGCAGGCCTCGCGTTGTGCGTGTTTGCATCCCTCCCCGCGGTGTCCTCTCTTCCGCTTTTCATGTTGGGACTTTTCGGTGGCGTGGGTTTTGGCGCAGGCGGAATAAAACCCAATGTCGTGGTGCTTGGAGCCGACCAATTCGACGTCGCTATCCCAGCCCAACGCGCCGAAAAAGACAGTTTTTTCAACTGGTTTTATTGGGCTATCAACGTTGGCGCTACGTTCAGCTACGGCGTGTTAACAAACTTGGCAGTAAACGGCCTCCCGCCGTATATTTCACGCGATTTCGGCTTCTTCGCGTCGTTTGCCATCCCGTCGGCGGCTTTTGTGCTCGCCGCGTTGGTATTTTACGCCGGAAAGAAACGTTACCGTCGCATTCCACCCAAGGGGAGCGCGCTGAGCAAGTTCTTTTCCGTGCTGACTCAAGCAGGTGCACGCTCGAGACGTGGCAAACTTGTACTCAGCGGAGGTCTGGCGTTCGCTCCAGGAATTGTACTCACAACCGCGTCATACTTTATTCAAGATGCATTCATCCACATGGCCGTCGCTCTTGTGGGTGCAGGAGCTGTAGCGTACGGTACGTTCGTGCTGATCTTCTCGGGAGCTAAAACGGATTGGCTGCGCTTAGCGACGCGTACGAATGGAGGGTCCTATTCGGCTCAGGAGGTGCAGGATGCAGCACAAGTTGTACGACTGGCGCCGTATCTGGGAGTCATAATCATTTTCTGGGCTGTTTACGGCCAGATGAACTCGAATTTCGTCGTCCAAGGCTGTCAAATGGACTTGAGAGTCAAGGGACGGGACGGAGTGCTGCTGTCCTCTGCCATGCTCAATATCGTCGATTCCGGCGTCATTCTGGTGTTTATCCCCGTGTTCGACCGCGTGTTGTACCCACTGCTGACCCGAATGGGGATCTACCCGACGTTACTGCGCAAGATTGGAGCGGGGCTGGTGTTCTCGATGCTGGCGATGCTGGCAGCAGGCTGGACGGAGCAGATCCGGAAGAGTAGCCCCTTAATTGCGGGAATTCCCTCGAATTGCAGTGCGGCAGGCGAGAGTCTCCCCATGTCAGCGATCAGTGTTTGGTGGCAGACACCGCAGTATGTTCTCGTGGGGATTGCTGAGATCCTCACGAGCATTTCAGCGTACGATTTGTTCTACTCGGAGGTCCCCGAGTCCATGCGCAGCGTCTGCCAAGCGCTCAATCTGCTCACGACGACGCTGGGCTTTATCGTGACTGGAGCGCTGAACAGCATTTTCTCCTTCTGGGTCACTAGCGACCTCAACGACGGACATCTCGAGTACATCTACTTCATGTTGGCGCTACTGGTGCTGGTGCTGCTGGTAGCGTTCATTCTGGTGTCGCAGTCGTTCGAGTACCACGTGCCTCCACCAGGTCTCGATACGGTCTCGGGCTTCTCTCCGGCACTCTCACGTGCTGCCAGAGAGCTCCGTAAGAAGTTGCAGTTCCAACGCAATGGTAGAAAGTAAAGGTTTTAGACACAACAAGGGCTGTTATTCTTAAAAAAAAAAAAAAGGCGAAAGATTTTAACAGCCAAGAAGTATTAGCGTGCTGAATAATATTGAATACTGGACGTTTATTAGGTGCCGCCGATTTTTTTCCAACTTTACTGCGATGGTACCGAGTTTTTTGCTTCCTCGTCTGGAGGGATTTTAGGGAACATGTATACTGACGCCTCCTCTCGTCAAAGGATAAAGTACTCGAGCAGCCAAATTTCTTCTGGGGCGAGACCGTCCTCCTCCTCGTCTTCGTCCTCCTCGTCCTCGTCCTGCTCGCACATTGGTGGCGTCGAGATCGGGGACATGCAGTGCGGCCCCCAGTTCATCGACGCAACATCAAGATCGACCGCCGTGGGGCTAGTTGACTCCAGCGTTTTCTCCTGGTCACGCACAGTTGATGGGCTTCCGAACGCCATAGCATAGTCATCGGCTGAGGGTGCGATGATCGAAGCGAGCGGAGACCAGCACAGCGCGCTGCGCACTTGGTTAATGGGAATCGGGAGTTGTTTCTTCAGAAGCTTCTCCCGTTGAGCCTGGCGCTTCTTGGCGCGATCATGACGACACTTCATATCACTTCGCTTCTTGGTGCGATTCTGTTGGTTGCGATGGTATTCGCAGAGCAGCAGCAATGTTCCGTTCGCTTTGACTGCCCGGGGATTTGGACACCGACCGGTCTTGTAGCGACAACGTGTGGACGGTGAACACGCATCAGCTCCTGCCGAGGTGGCTGCTGCATTGCTCTGCATGCTTTGTCCTGTATAATCTTGTGTCTGCAAATCTCGAAGTGAATGAACTTTGGGCCTGCGAGCCGCAACAAACGCGTACACTTTGAGGTCAGCGCAGTCGAAATAAATAGCATTTTTATGCAGGCCGTTGCGACGCCAAGCACCAAGACCACCGACGAGAACTGTCGAAGCACAATTGGGAAGGTGGCTAGAGGTCAGTATATTTAGTGCTCGCCGTGGGACGATTCTTATGAGCTCTGCTTTCGACTACATTTTAAGCCACAGTCTATGCAGGCACGGTTATGAAACGATTTCCCTTGTCGGCCAAGATACCGCGACAAGAATTATGCCTATGCCATTTCGATGTTATCGTTGTTGGCTTCGGCTTTCGTACCATCTCACTCAGCAAAAGTGACTATTTCAAAGGCGTCCAAAGTCAATTTGACAAGCTGCTCGTCTTCAATGTACCCATTCCCGAAAAATGGAAAAAAAGTAGTTAAGCTTTGCTATCACGAGTTACCATTTCATTTCGCTGGGTAAGTAGACAGTTTTTCGAAGCGCTCCTTCATTTCCAACATGTGGACTTGTGACTTTAGCTGATCTGTATAAACACCTTGACATTGCTGATTGCCAGGCTGTTATTAGCGCTTTTCAAACGTCTAGCTGGCACCCGAAACGCTCGCATTCTTGTCGTACGCCGGCAACATTTAGCAATGCGAGTCAGCAAGACAGACGCTGCCACATCTCATCCCCAACCTATTAATGCAATCGCGACGTCGGTACGTGGCCATGCCGCCAAATCCCTTAGCTCCAGCTCGTTGGAGTTTGTCATCGGGGGAACTTTAATCAGGAAAGCTTCAAGCTACTGCTCTGAAGACCTGCAAGTGTATTAACTTGACTTCTGTAGACGCAGGGCGTAGCTTCTTTTTTTTTTCTTCTGCATACAACTGGTGTCCGTCGAGCGAGAGGAACGTTGACCGGTTCGCACGGGTAGACGTTGATTAAACGCATTTGAGTGCAGAGAAATCGCTCGAAAAAAACTATTAATCAAAACTTCTCGGTCGTCCTACCCCCTTCAATTATCTACGTAGAAGAACGTCGAGTCTCGCGGCCGTGACGCGTCTGTGGCTTCAGACGCGCGGCTCATGTTGCTACGACGTTGCACTTCGGACGACACCTCGCTCAGTACACGATGCAGTTCGATCGGGTCACAGGTACGACGGATCTCGTCGTTGTACGCTCCGTTCAGCGGGTCATAGAGACCCAACAGACACGAGAAGAAGCGGTCGTGGTTCACGTGCTGCATCATCAAGCAACACGTGGAGAACGGCACTCGTCCCAGTCTGTTCTTGTCCATGTATCGGAATATAAGACCCGAATACGGGAGCAATTCGGACGGGTGTTTGCACAGCCACGCAGCCAAGAGCTGGATCAACTCTGGCTCCGCTAAATGGCCGTCCCCGTCGACGTCGTACTTCTCGAACAACGCACGCAGGCGCTGCACGTACTCGAGCTGGGAGGGCGGAGCAGCGGGGGTCGCGGTCAAGTGCTGGATCTGCTTGAGACGTTGATAGCCAGAGCTTCGGATCGACGCTGGAGTCTTCTCGGCCTGCATGACCAGGTACCGCATGCAGAAGCTCACGTGCTCCAGTACGACGAACAGCACGATCTGGAACATCCGCCATCTGGACGAGCCGCTCTCGTTCACGCAGGCACTGGGATCGGATGTTTCGTCGCCCTCGATCGTCCCGAATGGCACGACGTACGCGTTGCTAAAAGTGAAGTTACAGTCTGTAACAAAGTAACCGTAATGATACACGACCACAAACGCCGAGACGACCGTCACGCCGATGATGTTGGCGTACGCGAGTACCGTGGCCCATTCACCAATCGACGTGTCACGTCGCGGCATTGGCCGGCGATTGGCGAATAGCAGTCGGAACGCGTCACCTCGCACTTCCAGGAGGTTGTTGAAGAAGGCGGGGAACGGTAGCAAGGGCCACACGACCGTGAACATCATGACGTACGAGAACTGGATACAGGCGTCCAGGTAGTCCAGCACGGGGTCGAAGATCGGGAGCTTCGCTTCGGCCAAGATCTCGTACGCGGAATACTTGTTCGAGTCGTCCGACATGGGCAGCACCCTGACGTTGAAATTCGTGTCTTTCTGCACCAATTGCGCCAGTCGAGTCGCTGTGAGATTCGTGACTGGCGCGCCGTTATCTTTCAGCTCCAAGTGACTGTCAGCGCTCGAGTTACTAGCCGTCTCTTGCGAGTTGTAGTTCGCCGCAGAGTGCATCGACTGTCGCGGTTTGGCGAAGCGGAACCAGCGTGACAAGTGGCGTACACACCACGTGAACGGCGAGGCCTGACGACACCCGATTGAAGGACGACCGCGCAGTTTACGCAGCAGATACGGGGCGATGGTCTCCAGTAACATGTTCAAGAACTGCGTGACCACTAGCGGAGTGACGAAGAGCGTGTCCAGCGTCAGGAGGTTCGGGTTCCACTCGTACGGAGCTAGCGCGCCCAGTCCAATCTTGTGGAAAAGCGTCAAGATCGTGTCTCCGAACGGCATGTAGACGAACGAGATGAAGAGGAACCAGAAGAACCAATTGCTCCATACGAACACAAAGCGGCGGTGGATCAGGCGGTTTTCGTGGTCCGACTTCTTAGCGTAATTCTCCCACTGCACAAACTTCTCGGACATCCAATTGAACAGCTCGAAGAAGATAATGTCAATCAGCAGACCCAGAATGATCCCCTGGATCAGAATGTACACCCAGCGATCGGTCCCCAGCGCCGAATTGGTCGAGTTGAAGCACGTGATGAACCAGACGCACGCGTACGACTCCTCTGTGTCTCCGTTGCACGCGTCGCACGTAGGCGCGTTCTTGGCGTACACGTACCACTGGATAAACGGCACTAGACACACGCACTGGATGAACGCACACACCAGTACGAATAACAGCATCGTCAGCTGGATCCAGTGGTTCTTGCGTTGCTTCGGGATCTTCTCCATCTCGTGAGTGAGCCGGTTCTTCACCCACACGTACTTGAAGCCTGGATTGTCGTCGTTGCGTTCGTACACCGTGTTCTTGTACTTGGTCAAGTTCCACTTCTCCACTAATAACCGCGTCTCACGCGCCCAGCAGACGAGGAACGAAGGACCCCAGAAGCAGACCACACAGACGCCAATCACTGCCAATCCCTCCATGTATTGCTTCCACGTGGGCGCAGACGTGAAGCGGTAACACAAGTAGTAGAACAGACACGACAGCGTCAAAGGCAGCAAGTGCTTCGTGTAGATGTGCATGAAGGCGAACAAGAAGGCCACGCGCTCTCCGAAGTGCAGACGCAGTTCCTCCACCGCCCAGCGATCGCTGTTTCCTGCTGCCACTTTGCGTAGATTGAACTCGAACGTTCGCTTACGGTACTCGTCGAAAAACTGCTTGTTGAACGCTCGGTCGTGTAGCGGGAAGCACTCGACAATAACGTCAGTCACGGTGAGCTCTTTGTTGACGTCGATGACCCACTCTTCCTTGTCGTAGTCCTTGAAGGCGTTCTGGATGATATTGTGCGTCAGCTGCAGCTCCAGCGCCGGCGAGAAGCACATTTCCTTCAGCGTGTCCAGAGACTCTTCGGCCAGTCTGCCCAGCGCGTCACCTCGTTTGATGGACAGCTCGTCCAGTTCACGCTTAAACTCGTGCAGCAACAAGTCCGGGTTCTTCTTTGGGTCGATGAGGATGCACAAGTTCCTGGCCACGTCTTCTTCCCGACTATTTGGGTCTCGCTTACTGTGGACCCCTCGTTGGCTGTCCAGATAGCTGTCGTACAGCGCGTTGTCCAGTAGAATAACGCCCAGTCCCGCCTGGATCAAGCGGCGCACACATTTCTGCTGCAACGCGCTCACTTGCTGCGGCAGATCGCGTCGAATGGACGCGGCGGAGCGAGACGGGAACCTTTTCTTTAGCAAGTGGAAGATCTGCTCCGTGTGCTTTAAAACAATAGCAAACGTGTACTTCTGCGCCTCCTCTATGGACACATGGGGAGCTCCGTTCATAAAGTACTGCATGGCGTCCAAAGGGGTCTTGTCGCGCTGCCCGTCTTCGAGATTTTCGTCAAAAGACTCTAACCCCTTACAATGAGACCTCTCTGTTTGAAACATGGGTAATGCGAAGTTGGGCTCCCCCACTTCAGTCAGGACGGCACCTTTACGCTCCGATACAAGGGACATCCCGCTTCTTGTCCTCGTACGGGGTGCAGAGTGGACTGTGGACGGCACTGGAGACTGCGGCGCGTAATAGACGTCGAAAGGGGACTTTCCCTTGCTTTTCTTCTTCCGTTTACCTGTTCCGACAGTTGCGACGCCCGCTTTGCTCGTTTCTTCGGCGTGGTAGCTGTCCAGAGCGGGCAAACTGCAGCGGTCCTCGTCGAACTGGTCGCGGAAGCTCGGCTGCTTGGCTAAGCGCATGCTACGGCCTGTGTTGGCGGCCTTGCGACTACGTAACAGCCAGTCGGTGGCAGGAGCCGATCGAGCGGACGCGAACGAGTGGTGCGAGACTAAACTCGAGCAATGACTCTCGGCACCGTCCGTGTCGTCGGATGGCCGTCGGCGCATAGAAACAGCCTGCACGCGAGAGCGCAGCTCCTGCTCTTGTTGCGCTCTTTCTAACGCTGCATCGACCTCTTTTTCTAACTTGTCGGCGGTGGCGTCACGCGGGGACGAGTCCGCCCGAGTCATGCCGAGCCCTTCCTCGTTTCGAAGTGAGCTGGAGTTGGGTTATTGCGGACTGGGTTTTGAAAGGTGGCTTGGGATTAGAAGACAGGGTTTCAGCCAATTGACAGACGAGGTGGTCGAGTCAGTGCTAGAATTTAGCACAACAACAGGCGAACAGACCAGCCTGAGCTCTTAACGGCGTCAGCAGGTTACATGTCTTTTACCTTCGCCATCTTGGATGGAGCTGATGCTGGGCTGTTCCTGCCGTTACAATGTCGAGACTGTCATCGTTCGTTTCGACGTCAGCGACACTTCGTGAAAGGCGGCTCCTAGACTTTCTGGCAAGAATTTTTTTAGGAAGACGATGCTACTGATTCGCAGAGCGCTGAGCGCGGCCTAAGCACATTTGAAGGCAAGATTACTCCAGTGACATGGATCAGGTCCTTGACCCGGCGGTAAGCTCTGAATCCAACTACGAGATCTCGTTTGACCTGCCGATTTTGAAAATAAGCATCTGCAGTAGTCAATGCCAAGCTGGAGTAAGTATGATATCTTTTTATATTTTGATATGCTAGAGCACGATGATGGTGTTCTTGAGCTGACATCTGCAATAACTTATCGAAAACAATTACAGAAGTCCCTCAAAGTAAGCGTAGGGGGGACCGAGAAACGATCTTAGAGGGTGATAAAACAGATGTTTTAAATGTACTGATATTTAGTTAAGAAGCGAGGCGATCTTGCTCCTGTCCGACAGAATGCCTGCGTGCCGCCAGCAGTTCTGAATGGATTTGGGGGAGATCTCGTCGTAGGCCATCTTACTCCAACAAAGAGCGGTGTAGATATCAACTTTCTCTTGGTCCCGCCCTTCTAAAAAGCGGTCGACACAATCAAGTACCTTTAAATCCCTGTACTTACTCTTTAAGGCTCGAATAATGCCTTGAGCCAACGGCTGTGTCAGCCGATGTTTGGGGTCTTTGCGTTCAGAGATCACCTTCCTGTGCGTGAGAGTGTACTTAGCCTCGCTCCGAAAGAAGAACGAGGTCTCATCCATGTTGTAGATCTCGGACCGGGCGTACGAGTCCGTCAGCTTTCGTAGTTTCACACGTCCGGCTTCAGCTACCTCTTGGTCAACTGACGCAGCTTCGCCGTGCTTCCGCTTCTTGGAGATTCCGTGACGCTCTTGCAATATACAGCCAGCCCTTAGAGAGCTTCAACGTGGTGTTCTCGCCATACGCGTTCACGCGAAGAGCAATGGCCTTTATCACCTTGCCTGTGATAGCCTCCACCTTGCCGTCCATGGCCTTAGAGACCTTCATAATGCGAGCGTCCGTCTCCTGGATTTGAAGGCTGACGAGCTGCTTGCGCTCTAGCTGACAGGGCTCCATAGCGGCCCACTTAGACTCCCCAGCGATAACATTGCGAGCGGCATCGCGTGAAAGAGATTTTTCCAGCTTGAACGCACGTGTTGCCCACGCTGCGAGCTGTGTGTTGGACAGTTTGCCTTTGGCGCGCATATCCTTCGCATGGCGATCTTCAGCTCCATATTAAGGCGGATCCGGCGCGGCATGGGGCTGGCGGTCATGGTCGCTTGGAAGAGTGATAGTGTGCATGGAGGGAAGCGTACGTAGCGGGAGCATGAGTTACCTCGTACATTTAATCTCCATTCTCAGTCTTTCAATGGTTTACTTAGCGAAGAGGGTGGACCGATATCTTTCCCGCCGATCCTGCAGTTCATCCAAAATCAGTGCATTTTTGTGATTGGCCAGTTGAACCTGTACGTACCGTAGGGGGTATTTGAAAATGGATGAGCTTTCACCGGCACCGCACGCGGACGCCTGGAACTGCGCGCCAGCGGATGCTGCTCAAGCTGCACACTTGGGTGGCGGATTACGTAAGTAGGTGACGCTTACTTTGAGGGACTTCTGTACATGTAAAGCTTACACGATGTTCGATGCCAAGTTGGAAGCATAAACATTTTTTTCTGGTGGTTTGTACAGTGAAGAAGTCCACCTGAATAAGCGAAGATTGCACTTCATATACCCCTTTATATCGGATTACTTGAGTTGGGGATACTTTTAGAAATCAGAAGATCGCTGAGAATTCCCTATGCCAATTAATCAAACGACCCCCTACATGGTTTGAGGGGGAACTTCTGTATATTACAGCTCGCTGTTATTTAAGAATACTGTACACCTGACCTCACTAAAACGAGCATTATAAAAGGTACTACCATCAAGCTAGCTTAAGTACGATCTAAACAACAAGTCTCACTTGAAAATGACGCTGGAAATCCACCGTGCTAGAGCGTGCGAGTTCACCCGCGTGTGGGCGGCAAACGCTTCCTCCGCCTCCAATCTATCGCCCTTACAACAGCAGCAGCACGCGACATGGTCCATTACCGACGCATCGGCCGTCTCCATCACTAGCGACTCCCTGCAGCTGCAAAACACAACGCTGCAGATCTCCATCCCTCTAACGAGCAACACAACACTTCACCGACTCTCATTGCGGACGCAATTGCCACAGGTTAAACACCCCATAATATTCCCCAATAGCGGACAAGCTTTAATCAGTAACACCGCTCTATTTGCTACCGTAGAACGCGCCGACAATGCTCAAGGCACAGCTAAACGGACGCACAATGGCCATCAAATCCTCTCATAAAGCCACCGCTAGCAACGAAATATTACTGGGACCGTCATCAGCGGTAGCTGTTAGACTACCATGTAACAAGGTGCGCAAGCTGCATACACTCAACAGGAGATGCTGCATAGAACTGACTTTGAGACTCGTAGAACGTGGCGGACTCGGTCCACGACATGGAGTTTGTATGGCACGGCGAGTGGCTGCGCTGGTATGTGGATGGAGTGATGTTACTGGAGGAATTCAAGCTACAGGAGAGAGAAGACGACAACGTTCTCATCGAGTTGAGTGTCGAGGAAGCGTCGCTAACTATACAACAAATGGAGTTGAGCGCAGCCAACGCATCGGATCCGTACTGTGCACCGCGATATTCCACATCCAGCAACTGCCGAGAGCAAGAGCGTACGTTGGCTTTTTGAACAAGTTAGGTAGATAGATACTTATCTGTTAAGTGGTTTTTGCGCAGCCTTCTCCCCACGTCTCGGCTCGGTTCGAGGATCGTTGTCAGTGGTCCAAGTGGACGCGTTCATCGACGAAGTGGCTACAAACTACCCACTTATTACTAAAGTGGAGTACCTCGGACGCTCAGTCGAAGGCCGACCACTGCGTGCACTCTGTCTGGGTGCATGTAACATTTCAGAGGACAAGAAGATCCCTCAAGCTCTCTTCACTGGCATGCACCATGCTCGCGAGGTAAAATTTCACTGTTTATTCTGTGTGCTATATCGAAAACTCACGTGGAATGCGTCTCCTTATCCTTGTTCTAGCCAATCTCCATGATGGTACGTGGGTTGTCCTGCTACCTCCATAGACTTCAGAGGGCTAACTCGTTCTGGTTGTTGCAGAATCTGGTCTACACGATCGACATTTTGACGTCCGACTATCGCAACGGAGAGCTGGCAGCTCTCGAGCTCTTAGCGTCACGTCAGCTCTGGTTTATTCTGGTCGTAAACCCCGATGGCTATGCGCACAACGAGATGGCGCGTGTGTGGGAGCACAACAAGATGGGACAACGCAAAAGCGGAGCCCCAACTTGCGACCGAAGTCCTCCTGACGCTGGCGTGGACTTGAACCGCAACTACGACGTCTGTTTCGCTCGAGACAGTAAAGGCAGCAGCAACGAGCCGTGTGGAGACGACTACAATGGCCCGAGCGCGTTCTCGGAGCCGGAAACTCGAGCTGTACGCGACATTGTGGAGCGGAACACATCGGACTTCAGCGTGGCACTCAACTACCACTCGTACGGCAAGTACATCAACCTCCCGTTCGCTTGTCAGGCTGAAGGACAGCCCACCGAGCCCAACAACGCCCTGTTCGTGGCGTTAGCGCGTGAGATGGCGCACTTTAATGGCTTTAACTACGGTCAGTCGTGGAAGGACAGCAACTTGTACACGGTGAACGGAGAGACGAGCGACTGGATGTGGCAGGCTCACGGCATCTTCGCCATGTCTCCCGAGGTGGGTCCAGGGTTTCAAGTCGCCCCTGTTCCAGGGTTCTGGCCGCTTCCCAGCGACGTCCCGCAGCTCTCCTCGGAGCTTCATTACTCCAATTTGTACGTAGCACGAATGGCAGGACCAGTGTATGCGCTGGAGGTGCAGAGTATCCAGCTGGGAGCTGTCGATGACGGCGACTCGACGGTGTCCTTTGTGTCTGTGGACGTGGCGGTCTCGAACACTGGATTGCGCCCAGGAAGCGCAGAGCTGGTGGGGTCGGTTTTTGTCAACGGATCAAGCGCCAGTGATGCTGTGCAGTTGGAGCTTAAGGCTGGACCTGACGGCTCTGGAACACAGAGCCACACTGTGATGATTCCGTACTCTGGCGATGATTTCCACCAGTCCATGAGAGAGATTAAGGATCTGTTTCTGGTTGTCAGAGACAGTTTAAGTTGCCAGCTCTTCCGTGTCGGTACGTGTCGAGTGATGCAATGTTTTTAGTGGGGGGAATATTTTTTAGCCAACGTATATGTGTAGCCGTTCACTTCCATACAGACGTTGAAAGAACCAACCACCCAAGTTTTCAGACGTGGACTGCGCTCCCACTGCCTCGCTGCGGAACCTGTGAGCTCTTTGGGGCTTCAGAACATGGCGATGCAGGCTTACCAACCTCGCCAGTATGTGGCGATATCAAAGATGTGGCGTCTCTGGAGTCCGTTCACACACGGGATGTTGACGTCGTGATCTCTGGGATTGAAGATACTACGTCTCGATCTACAGAGCTGCCAAGCTCCACCTCTACTGTCAACGTTTCTTCCAGTGCTGAGGATGCGAGTAGCGAGAAACAGGCTTCGCTCACGTCATCGATCTTGCCGTCGTCAGTGTCGTGGTCGGGCTTTGTCGCCATGGCAGCGTTTGCTGGACTCGTGCTACTTGTCGTAGTCGCGCTCTTCATCCGACGACGTCGCGGTGGACCCAAAAAGAAACCTTCAAGAGCTAAAGCAGCTGCAGGCGCTCAGAAGCGACGAAGCAACGTGCAATACTCGCGCATTGACGCGAACTCGCCTGCGGGAGACGACTACGACGAAGACGAGACTGGTCTAGTGGATGCAGAGTGTGGGGACAGAGGGCTATCGGACGAGGAGGAGGACGCGGTAGCTCGTCGAACCACGAAGACGCTGCGTGCATCGACTGAAGATGTCGTGTAATTGGGTCCCTCACGTAAGGTGGCCAGGCAGTACACTACTTACAACGTGGAGGGCGACTAATCTTATTCATCTTTTTTTGGTATTTGACTCAGATCCGCGAGGAATAGGCATCGTCCCTGTAGTAAACAATACTAGTGCATCGAAGGACATCGGCAGAGGCACATGTTGAAGCTTAACTCTGCTTTAAAGCGACTACGAAGACGAGTAGTGACAAGGAGAGCCTCCAGCCAATATGACTTAATCAATAACCTGCCATCCGGGTGCTTCACTCGCTTCAGATCTCAATCTTCCAGCTCGACAACACCTCCCAAAGCTCGTCCAGCCTTCACGGCCGTCCGCACCATGAGATCCGCCAGTCACTACGTCGCTCTGCTCCTCACCGCTCTGTCGGTGTCAAACTCGAGTGCGTACTCGTCCGATACTTGCCAATCGATCCTGACTGGCTCGTATCCAAACGCCGTCGCTGCGTATCCGCACCTCAAGCACCAGATCGAGCTCGTCGCAAGGCAGCAAGTGGCGCAATGGTACACTGATCGCGTGTCGGACGTCTCCACGCTCGCCAAGTCGGTCGTGCTCCCGAAGTGCGTTGAGAGCCCCAGCACTCCCACTGTGATCGTGTACGGGTTACCCCAGAAGGACTGCGCGCACGGCTACTCGACCGCTGGATCCAACGCGAACGCCAACGACTATCGCGTGTTCCTACAAGAGCTCGCCGACGCGGCTGGAGACCGACAGATCGTCTACATCCTGGAGCCTGATGCCATCGGTCTTCTCGCCAACAGCGGATGCGGCAACGACAAAGGGTACGCCGCTAACCTCGGAGTGGCTATGGATATCCTCTCGCAGAACAGTAACGCGGAAATGTTCCTTGACGTGGGCTACTGGACGCTCTCGAACGAGGGACAAGCCGCTGCTGTTGCCAAGATCGTGAACGCGGTTGATCCGGACGCGAGATGCAAGGGGATCTCGCTCAACACGTCCAACTACCGGTCGAACGCCGAGATGATCGCTACATGTGAGCGGTTCGTGAAGGCCAGTGGGAGGGACTACAAGTGCATCGTTGATACGAGTCGCAACTTCGTTTCGGGATCTTCCGAATGGTGTAATTCGGAATGGGCTGGCATTGGCGAGTTCCCTACTAGTAACACTGGCTCCAGTGTTGTAAGTCGATTCATTTGGGCCAAACCTCCGGGTGAGAGTGACGGAGAGTGCACTGGCCAGTCCAACGAAGCGCTTCGAGGGCCCAGTGCCGGAACGTTCTTTCCGGATCATTTCGAAAAGCTCTGGGACAACGGCGTGTTCGTCCGGAAACTCGGAATGGCGCCGATCAGCGCACCCGACACGACAAACAACTCCACAGAGGCGACTCCAGCACCCACCACGGTACAACCGACGCCGTCGACTTCAACGGATCAAACCGTCGTCCAAGATCTCGATATCACATCGCTGACAGCGTTTGACGTTTATGATGACGCTGTGGGTCTAGTCAATGCCGGAGACCAATGGGAAGATAGCGATGATAACCAGGTCACTACTACTGCAACAACCCCGAAACCAACGTCGTCGGCTCCAGTGTTGGTGGAAGTCGAACCTCCTCACGCCATGGTCGTAGTGGACGTGATTCCGGACGACGAGTACGTTGACAGCTCGGACAGTTCCGACTTTACCAGAGTTAAGGAAGACAGCTCGGCAATTCGTAAGCACAAGGCCTGTCATTAAGAACCCGTCGTGGAATTATAAGTGTAACCTAAAAGAAAAGTTAAAGTTAAAATGTAGTCAAGGTCGACGTGTCTTCAAAGTGCCGAAGATAGTTCATGAGATCGTGCAGAACGATCGAAACCCCATAACATTCTTCGCCATTCACGCTGTAAGCCACCAAAGGCCCCTGAGGACAAGGCTTTCTATCACCCATGCAGCGCGAGGAATGCATCTACAACTTGATCCCGAAGGTGCACGTGGAGCCAGTCAAGCCTGAACGCTACTGCTCCAAGTTCGATCCGAACGTGCAGCCAACAGGAACCACTTTTGGTGTGCGAGGGAAGACCCGACTGGAAGGTTCCAATCTCGGCGCAGCTCAGAAGATAGAGAAACCTGCCAGTGCCCGTGGCTTCGGTCGTCTGCCTGCTAAGCCTGATCCCAAGACTTTCACCCGAAAAGGCGAACGCAGTGCCACTGCTATCGTCTCGAAGAAACGTGAGTATTTGTTTTACCCATTTGAGAGCTTAACTGACCCATTTTTATTTAACCTTTAAAAAAAGCGGGGAAGTTCAATTATCCTGGAACTACAAGACCTCCTGTCGTGAAGAAGGATGACAAGCCCATTATGGGACTCAAGTCGGCCAAGAACTTCATCACGGCTAATGCTGTCGAGACGATCCTCGCTGTGCCCGGTAATCGAGCCCGTGTCCAGAACGAACCGCCGCAGTACAAGACCAAGGAAGACTATGGCCAAGTTCCGCGATACTTAAGTCAAGTCAAGGACGAGATCGAGCGTGAAAACTCGATGATCGAGGAGTTTGTGCGGCAGAATCACAATCTCATGGAGGAAGACGGTCGCGATCGCGTTGAGCCCATGGACGAGAGTGAGCGACGTGCGCTAGTGGACGCGCTAAAATCTAAATGGGACCACGTGAACGCCAAGTACCAGAAACTCTGTCACAACGTCGTGTTCGATACGCTGGGCAAAGTGAGGCGAAAAGAGACGTTCGAGAAGGAGCTGACGCAGCTCGAGAAGGACATTCAGCTGCTGGAAAAAGGACGCGTCGTTATCAGCCAGAACCAAGGCCGCTATGGCTACTGAACCGCACATTTTATACAAGCAACATAAGTCTGCTTGATACAGCAACATAGTCGTTTCTTCTCTTTGTTTGTTAGTGTCTTAAGCATTCGTTCGAAGCTGAGAAGGTGTCCCAGTTGCGAGCTTCTCCACCTCATTAGCGACCTCCTGGATGCGGTACACGAGCGATCGTAGCTCTTCCACTGAGCATGAGAACGCCACAGTCTGAAGCCCCGAGCCGCTGCTACGAGGCGACTGCAGCTTCAGTTGCACGAAGTACAGCGGTTCGTGGACATTCCCAGCACTACTAGAGCGAAGAACGTAGTCGAGTCTCCAGTTCACGTCCACCACGTGGGCGAAGTCAAAGCCTACAGTATTAAGTCTGTGAGACCTAACATTTCAACATCAAGTGTGCCCCTTACTGGTGTTTTCTAGCACACGCTCCACACCCGGCACTACTGCGGATAACACTGGCATGAGCTTCAATTGCAGACTTTCGTCTTCCACTCCAAGAGCGTAGAGCTGTCGTCTAGTTCATTTGTCGTTAGTATCAACTTAGAGATACTTAAAATTATCTGAGTTGCTGTTTCAGCTCATACCGCTGTTCCGCCGGCGTCCGCGCTCCCCCCTCTCTAGCGACAGTTGCGACGATAGCGCACATGGCTGCAAACGCTTCGTTGTCGATTGAAATCTGCTGTTCGCTGGTGTTGTGACTGAGAGAGGACTTCCCAGACAACTCGACGGCTGCAGCGCTCGCTAACGCCTTAAGAGACGCATCGGAAAGGGTGCGAAGATGTTCCAGAGCGTGATGAGGAACCACGTGCGTGCCGCCGTCCAAGTACGACGCTGTGTCGCCCACAAATTCTCGTTCTGCCATCTAAAAAAAAATGATTTAGCCGGCGGTACTTCACAATTGATATCCTCAGATCTGGAACTAGATTAAATTCCAAATTTCAGAATAAAAGGTTGAAGTGATTAAGCCAATCATCGACGAGAATTAACAAGCACATCTATTCATAAATTCAAACTTTAAAACTCATAGCATACTTCGTTTTACATCAAACGTCGCTCGCAAGCGACCAAGTTTGCAACACTCGATCACTTACGCGTAAGAGATGGTGCTGGTGGAGTACTGGCAGAGCGACCCCGACGGACCGGCGCCCAGTTTCTTGGGCTCGCCCGAAGTGGAGCCCTGCGACCACTGGCACACGTCCACCTTCTTGCCCTTGATCTTGATGTTCTGGAGCGTGGCCTGGTCGCCCCAGTTCTTGTTCACCGTCACGAGGCTCACCTTGCCGTTCACGGCCAGCACGTTCGTTGGGCTCACCTTGCGAGACTTGTCGCCGCACGTGCCGCACGAGCGGTAGAGCTTGCCGAGGTCCTGCGCGTAGAAGCCTTCGATGGAGACCGTGCCCAGGCCGTTGTGCTGGATGACCTTGTCGTCGGCCGAGCGCGCGCCACCGCCGATCACCTTGGTCACGCTGCTGGCCGAGCCGCCCTTGATGCTCAGCGCGTCCTCGCACACGTCCTCCCACCACACGTTCTGGATCGTGCAGCCGTTCTGCTCGCAGTGCACGCCCTCCATTTGGTCCTTGCCGATGATCACGTTCTTGAGCGTGGCACCAGGCTCCACCATGAACACGGCCGTCTGCCACCCGCTCTCCTTCTGGCCGCCGCACTTGACGTTCGAGCGCGCGTACGTCTTCATGCCACCGTCGAATGTCTGGCCCTTCTTGACCGTGTACGGCTCCTTCAGGTAGACCGTTCCCTTGCTGGCAGGCCACGACCCGGTGGGCATGTGGGCAGCCTCGGAGCGCATGGAAGCGCCCGAGGCAACGGAAGCCACGGCGGCGACTGCGACGGTGAAGATGGAGATGACGTTGACCATGGTATTTAAGTATCGAAGTTTGACGACTGATTGCTTGGTTGCTGGTCGGTAGCTTATTGCGAAGAGCAGAAATTGAATAATGAGGTGAAGTGAGAGTGTCTTCTCGGGGTTGTTCTCAAATATCGCGACGACGGCAGCTGTTAGTAGGGTGTCGTCGAGGTGCAACCAGGAGTCGGTTGGGCTGTCAGTCCCAAGAAAGTGGTAAACGTTAATGCAATGGGGACAAATCATGTCGATGAGATCCGTTGCCGGCTCCTGGACGCCAGATGTAGAGGTGACAACAGCAGTAGAGAGTTCGTTGGATCACTTGACGTCTACAGTCGGCTGCAGATGGACACGAACATGACCACTGTGTAACACCGTGTGTTCGAACGCCACATGTGACTAAGTTGCCTGCCTCGTGTCCAGCTTATGCGGTTCGTCCATACGAGGTGGCAGCCAAACCCTCCCGTTGCAGTACATGTCGCCTTGTACGCTACAAGTAGCCAACGACCGTAGTTTATTTTTAATACCAAAGTATGCATGCAGAACTAAGACACATTTACTTGGTGTACCCTTCTGCCGACGGTTTTGAGAAACCTTTCAAGATCGGATGCTGTCTGAAGGAAGGTCGGTCAAGGATTAGCATCGGGTGGCGACTACAGCAAAATTGCTAAGAGAACGGACAGCGAAACCATCGTTTGATCGCTGCGGCATCGTCGGCCCCCACGCACGGAGTGTGTGGACGGATGAAGCCTTGGAGGGCGATTTTAGGTCGATTACGCACTCAGACTCTGACTGCGTCACAACGTGGCTCGTGAGAGGGGCCAATTTTCATCTCGTTGTCGCCGTCAACTTGTCGGTACCGAAAACAACGGAGACTTGATATCCGCCGGTTGCGCCGAAACTTCGACGCTCTAGCACCCCACAGTCGACTAAAAGACCAACGTAGACTAATTACTCGCTGGTGATCGAGTGATTAAAACAACTTAAGATGGCAAAAACTCCGACGACGCTCGATCCGAGAAGGCCTCTTTCGTGACCCAACAGTAACAGCATCGGGTCTCATGAATTGTTTACGGTAAATCTTGGTCGATTTGTGAGCGCGAACGAAAACAACCAATTAAGACGCGAAAGAGTGCGCACAGGACAGCACAGTGTGTGGTTGCACAATTAATTGAACGAGAGTATACGTATATATATGCACATCACTGTTGGGCGCTGTAGGCAACCCGCAAAAGCACCGCTTCTAAGGCAGATTCATCGTGTTGGGTGGTCAGTGATATTTTGCAAACACCCGCTCCGTGCTTTCGGTTTCCTTCTGACAGAAGCTGCCCAGACACTAGTACCGCGTTCTCCCGCGTTATGATACAAACCGCTTCGTTTATACCGGAGGTCGGCATGTATTTACATAAACATCTATATTTGTGAAGCAAAGTTGACACCGTACAGCGTGGCTTCAAATTAATACTGAGCGTCTTAGTTGTTGTGAGTTGAAGCAAATAGCAAGGGAGCATTGCGCGGATACCGGTCTTACCGTTGATCGAAAATTGATCATCCCGTGACCCCCTCACTGAGAGCGGTGACGTAATATGAATAGACATGACAGTATTAGAACTCGGTATTGTCGATTAGTCATCAGCATCGTAGAAGTAGATTAAAAGACAAACTTTAAAAAGAAAGTGAAGCACATCTAAATTTCTATTGATTTACTCATGGACAAAACCATTAACGCCGATTCCACTACATACAAATGGCGAGCAATGCCGGCGGACCAGCAATCCAGATGCGAGTCCTGGAGCATTGGGTATTGCAGACCTGCCAGCTTATGCGTAGGAGATGGTGCTGGTGGAGTACTGACAGAGCGACCCCGACGGACCGGCGCCCAACTTCTTGGGCTCGCCCGAAGTGGAGCCCTGCGACCACTGGCACACGTCCACCTTCTTGCCCTTGATCTTGATGTTCTGGATCGTGGCCTGGTCGCCCCAGTTCTTGTTCACCGTCACGAGGCTCACCTTGCCGTTCACGGCCAGCACGTTCGTGAGGCTCACCTTGCGAGACTTGTCGCCGCACGTGCCGCACGAGCGGTAGAGCTTGCCGAAGTCCTGCGCGTAGAAGCCCTCGATGGAGACCGTGCCCAGGCCGTTGTGCTGGATGACCTTGTCGTCGGCCGAGCGCGCGCCACCGCCGATCACCTTGGTCACGCTGCTGGCCGAGCCGCCCTTGATGCTCAGCGCGTCCTCGCACACGTCCTCCCACCACACGTTCTGGATCGTGCAGCCGTTCTGCTCGCAGTGCACGCCCTCCATTTGGTCCTTGCCGATGATCACGTTCTTGAGCGTGGCACCGGGCTCCACCATGAACACGGCCGACTGCCCCGCTCTCCTTCTGGCCGCCGCACTTGACGTTCGAGCGCGCGTACGTCTTCATGCCACCGTCGAATGTCTGGCCCTTCTTGACCGTGTACGGCTCCTTCAGGTAGACCGTTCCCTTGCTGGCAGGCCACGACCCGGTGGGCATGGGGGCGGCCTCGGAGCGCACGAGGCGACGGAAACCACGGCGGCGACTGCGACGGTGAAGACGGAGATGACGTTGACCATGTTGAGGATGGAGTAGTTGAGTATCGAAGTTTGACGGTTGGATGCGTCGGTAGCTTGCAGCGAAGAGCGAAAATTGAATAATGAGGTGGGGTGAGGAAGTCTGTCCGGCGTTCGGCTCTCAAATATCGCGACGACGGCAGTTGTTGGTCGAGGTGCAACAAAAAGGAGTGTGTTCGATTGTCAGTCACCGAGAAAGCGGTAATCGTTATTGCGATGCTGACAAATCCTGTCGTCGTTGCTGTGAACGCCGGATCCTGGAGGCCAGATGCAGTGGTGAGAACAGCAGTAGAGAGTTCGCTGGACCACTTGAATCAAGTCTTGATGTCTAGGCTGGAGATGGACACGAAGATGACCACTGTGTAACACGGTGCGTTTAACCGCCACATGCGACTAATTTTCCTGCCTCGTGTCCAGCTGTACGGCTCGTCCATACGAGGAGGCGGCCCAGGCGCATGACGCCATTTTGCTTTAGCATGGCTGCGGTCAACGAGAAACGGTGCTCCCCGAAAATATTGACGGTTTCTGAACAATACTTACGCTAATATCAATGATAGAAGTTCGTTCCGAATATGTTGAATAAAAAGGCAGATATACTGTACTTTTAATTGACTAAGGTTAATCCCGATACAAATCGCGACCTTACAAGATCGGATGCCGTCTGATGGTCGGTGTCCCAAGGATTAGCATCGGGTGGCCGCCACCAATTTTGCTGTAGTCGCCACCGTGGCGACTACCGCAAAATTGCTAAGAGAACGGACAGCGAAACCATCGCTTGATCGCTGCGGCATCGTCGGCCCCCCACGCACGGAGTAAGTGGACTGATGAAACCTTGGAGGGCGATTTTAGGTCGATTACGCACTCGGACTCTGACTGCGTCACAACGTGGCTCGTGAGAGAGGCCAATTTTCACCTCGTTGTCGCCGTCAACTTGTCGGGTACCGAACACAACGGAGACTTGATATCCGCCGGTTGCGCCGAAACTTCGACGCTCTAGCACCCCACAGTCGACTAAAAGACCTGTGTAGACTAATTACTCGCTGGTGATCGAGTGATTAAAACAACTTAAGATGGCAAAAACTTCGACGACGCTCGATCCGAGAAGGCCTCTTTCGTGACCCTACAGTAACAGCATCGGGTCTCATGAATTGTTTACGGTAAATCTTGGTCGATTTGTGAGCGCGAACGAAAACAACCAATTAAGACGCGAAAGAGTGCGCACAGGACAGCACAGTGTGTGGTTGCACAATGAATTGAACGAGAGTGTACGTATATATATGCACATCACTGTTGGGCGCTGTAGGCAACCCGCAAAAGCACCGCTTCTAAGGCAGATTCATCGTGTTGGGTGGTCAGTGATATTTTGCAAACACCCGCTCCGTGCTTTCGGTCTCCTTCTGACAGAAGCTGCCCAGACACTAGTACCGCGTTCTCCCGCGTTATGATACAATCCGCTTCGTTTATACCGGAGGTCGGCATGTATTTACATAAACATCTATATTTGTGAAGCAAAGTTGACACCGTACAGCGTGGCTTCAAATTAATACTGAGCGTCTTAGTTGTTGTGAGTTGAAGCAAATAGCAAGGGAGCATTGCGCGGATACCGGTCTTACCGTTGATCGAAAATTGATCATCCCGTGACCCCCTCACTGAGAGCGGTGACGTAATATGAATAGACATGACAGTATTAGAACTCGGTATTGTCGATTCGTCATCAGCATCGTAGAAGTAGATTAAAAGACAAACTTTAAAAAGAAAGTGAAGCACATCTAAATTTCTATTGATTTACTCATGGACAAAACCATTAACGCCGATTCCACTACATACAAATGGCGAGCAATGCCGGCGGACCAGCAATCCAGATGCGAGTCCTGGAGCATTGGGTATTGCAGACCTGCCAGCTTATGCGTAGGAGATGGTGCTGGTGGAGTACTGACAGAGCGACCCCGACGGACCGGCGCCCAGCTTCTTGGGCTCGCTCGAAGTGGAGCCCTGCGACCACTGGCACACGTCCACCTTCTTGCCCTTGATCTTGATGTTCTGGAGCGTGGCCTGGTCGCCCCAGTTCTTGTTCACCGTCACGAGGCTCACCTTGCCGTTCACGGCCAGCACGTTCGTGAAGCTCACCTTGCGAGACTTGTCGCCGCACGTGCCGCACGAGCGGTAGAGCTTGCCGAAGTCCTGCGCGTAGAAGCCCTCGATGGAGACCGTGCCCAGGCCGTTGTGCTGGATGACCTTGTCGTCGGCCGAGCGCGCGCCACCGCCGATCACCTTGGTCACGCTGCTGGCCGAGCCGCCCTTGATGCTCAGCGCGTCCTCGCACACGTCCTCCCACCACACGTTCTGGATCGTGCAGCCGTTCTGCTCGCAGTGCACGCCCTCCATTTGGTCCTTGCCGATGATCACGTTCTTGAGCGTGGCACCGGGCTCCACTCATGAAGACGGCTGTCTGCCACCCGCTCTCCTTCTGGCCCCCGTACTTGACGTTCGAGCGCGCGTACGTCTTCATGCCACCGTCGAATGTCTGGCCCTTCTTGACCGTGTACGGCTCCTTCAGGTAGACCGTTCCCTTGCTGGCAGGCCACGACCCGGTGGGCATGGGGGCAGCCTCGGAGCGCACCGCGAAGGTCGAGGCGACGGAAACCACGGCGCCGACTACGACGGTGAAGACGGAGATGACGTTGACCATGTTGAGGATGGAGTAGTTGAGTATCGAAGTTTGACGGTTGGATGCTTGGTTGCTGGTCGGCAGCTTGCAGCGAAGAGCGAAAATTGAATAATGAGGTGGGGTGAGGAAGTCTGTCCGGCGTTCGGGTCTCAAATATCGCGACGACGGCAGTTGTTGGTCGAGGTGCAACAAAAAGGAGTGTGTTCGATTGTCAGTCACCGAGAAAGCGGTAATCGTTATTGCGATGCTGACAAATCCTGTCGTCGTTGCTGTGAACGCCGGATCCTGGATGCCAGATGCAGTGGTGAGAACAGCAGTAGAGAGTTCGCTGGACCACTTGAATCAAGTCTTGATGTCTAGGCTGGAGATGGACACGAAGATGACCACTGTGTAACACGGTGCGTTTAACCGCCACATGCGACTAATTTTCCTGCCTCGTGTCCAGCTGTACGGCTCGTCCATACGAGGAGGCGGCCCAGGCGCATGACGCCATTTTGCTTTAGCATGGCTGCGGCCAACGAGAAACGGTGCTCCCCGAAAATATTGACGGTTTCTGAACAATACTTACGCTAATATCAATGATAGAAGTTCGTTCCGAATATGTTGAATAAAAAGGCAGATATACTGTACTTTTAATTGACTAAGGTTAATCCCGATACAAATCGCGACCTTACAAGATCGGATGCCGTCTGATGGTCGGTGTCCCAAGGATTAGCATCGGGTGGCCGCCACCAATTTTGCTGTAGTCGCCACCGCGGCGACTACAGCAAAATTGCTAAGAGAACGGACAGCGAAACCATCGCTTGATCGCTGCGGCATCGTCGGCCGAAATCAGCCGCCGGGGGCCCCGGCAAGGCCATGCGTAGCGATGTGGGTTTTATGAAGTGCTGCAGAATTATTACGCGGATTTCTGAGAGGGGCAAGTCTTATCTCTTCATTATTAATAGTTGCCCAAGACTGCGAGTTTGTAAACGCACCCAGACTAAAATACTAAAGCAGACTAATTACTCGTGAGTGGCCAAGCGATTCAAAATTATATTAACTTAATAAAGGTGGCAACGGCGAATCTCGAGCACAGTGCTGGACTATAACAACAGTAGCAACACCGGGTCTGCACGAAGTGTTCACGATGAGCTTGAACGAAATACATCCAACGAAGGCGTGAAAAGTGCGCACAGGATAGCACATCACACGTGCGTGAGCGCAGCTCTATCGATAAAATGACAGCAATTTGCATTAATACGTGCACACCAGACGTGCGTCTTTTGAGGCAATCCCACAAAAGCTGGTCTGCTGCGTTGGTGGTCACACTGATCACTATAAATTGTCAGCGATACTTTGCAAACACCCGCTGCGTGATTTCGGTTCCCCTCTATCGGAGGGAGTCCACACACTTGTTCCGCGCCCTCCCTAGCTATGATACAATCTGCTTCGTATTCACCGCAGCTCATGAGTACAAGAACAGATGCGTGAAGCAGAAAATTTGTGTTCATACGTTATTTCCACGTATCAATAGGAGGTGGTGGTGCCGTCTTCAGCGCACGGCTTCGGTGTCGAGGTCAATGGTGGGCGTCTTAGTTGTAGTGAGTGACTGCAATAGCGTGCCGCAAAAGACGGATGCCACTACCTGTAATGGCCGTCAGCGACACACCCGCTTATTGTCGCTCGAAACTTGATTGACCCAATTTCCTTGGTCAGGTTATGAGAGACTTCGAATTCGTACACGCCCTCAGTGAGAGCGCACACAACTTGAAAGCTCGTGTCGTAAAATTACATAGTTGAACCCTTTCGCTAAAAGATTCACCCTACTTTACACCATGTTGATGATCAACAAACTGTAAAAAAAAAAGGTGAAACACATCTAAATTTCTAGTGATTTACTCATGGACGACACAATTACGCCGATTCCACCACACACAAATGGCTAACAATTCCGGAGGACCAGCAATCCAGACGCGAATCCTGGAGCATTGGGTATTGCAGACCCGCTAGCTTATGCGTAGGAGATGGTGGAGTACTGGCAGAGCGACCCCGACGGACCGGCGCCCAGTTTCTTGGGCTCGCCCGAAGTGGAGCCCTGCGACCACTGGCACACGTCCACCTTCTTGCCTTGATCTTGATGTTCTGGAGCGTGGCCTGGTCGCCCCAGTTCTTGTTCACCGTCACGAGGCTCACCTTGCCGTTCACGGCCAGCACGTTCGTGAGGCTCACCTTGCGAGACTTGTCGCCGCACGTGCCGCACGAGCGGTAGAGCTTGCCGAAGTCCTGCGCGTAGAAGCCCTCGATGGAGACCGTGCCCAGACCGTTGTGCTGGATGACCTTGTCGTCGGCCGAGCGCGCGCCACCGCCGATCACCTTGGTCACGCTGCTGGCCGAGCCGCCCTTGATGCTCAGCGCGTCCTCGCACACGTCCTCCCACCACACGTTCTGGATCGTGCAGCCGTTCTGCTCGCAGTGCACGCCCTCCATTTGGTCCTTGCCGATGATCACGTTCTTGAGCGTGGCACCGGGCTCCACCATGAACACGGTCGACTGCCCCGCTCTCCTTCTGGCCGCCGCACTTGACGTTCGAGCGCGCGTACGTCTTCATGCCACCGTCGAATGTCTGGCCCTTCTTGACCGTGTACGGCTCCTTCAGGTAGACCGTTCCCTTGCTGGCAGGCCACGACCCGGTGGGCATGGGGGCGGCCTCGGAGCGCATGGAAGCGCCCGAGGCGACGGAAGCCACGGCGGCGACTGCGACGGTGAAGACGGAGATGACGTTGACCATGTTGAGGATGGAGTAGTTGAGTATCGAAGTTTGACGGTTGGTTACTTGGTTGCTGGTCGGTAGCTTGTAGCGAAGAGCGAAAATTGAATAATGAGGTGAAGTGAGAGTGTCTTGTTCTCAAATATCGCGACGACGGCAGCTGTTAGTAGGGTGTCGTCGAGGTGCAACCAGCAGTCGGTTGGGCTGTCAGTCACCAAGAAAGTGGTAAACGTTAATGCAATGGGGACAAATCATGTCGTCGAGATCCGTTGCCGTGAACGCCGGCTCCTGGACGCCAGATGTAGAGGTGACAACAGCAGTAGAGAGTTCGTTGGATCACTTGACGTCTACAGTCGGCTGCAGATGGACAAGAACATGACCACTGTGTAACACCGTGTGTTCGAACGCCACATGTGACTAAATTGCCTGCCTCGTGTCCAGCTTATGCGGTTCGTCCATACGAGGTGGCAGCCAAACCCTCCCGTTGCAGTACATGTCGCCTTGTACGCTACAAGTAGCCAACAACCGTAGTTTATTTTTAATACCAAAGTATGCATGCAGAACTAAGACACATTTACTTGGTGCATACCCTTTTGCCGACGGTTTTGAGTAACCTTTCAAGATCGGATGCTGTCTGAAGGAAGGTCGGTCAAGGATTAGCATCGGGTGGCGACTACAGCAAAATTGCTAAGAGAACGGACAGCGAAACCATCGTTTGATCGCTGCGGCATCGTCGGCCCCCACGCACGGAGTGTGTGGACGGATGAAGCCTTGGAGGGCGATTTTAGGTCGATTACGCACTCGGACTCTGACTGCGTCACAACGTGGCTCGTGAGAGGGGCCAATTTTCACCTCGTTGTCGCCGTCAACTTGTCGGTACCGAACACAACGGAGACTTGATATCCGCCGGTTGCGCCGAAACTTCGACGCTCTAGCACCCCACAGTCGACTAAAAGACCAACGTAGACTAATTACTCGCTGGTGATCGAGTGATTAAAACAACTTAAGATGGCAAAAACTCCGACGACGCTCGATCCGAGAAGGCCTCTTTCGTGACCCTACAGTAACAGTATCGGGTCTCACGAATTGTTCACGGTAAATCTTGGTCGATTTGTGAGCGCGAACGAAAACAACCAATTAAGACGCGAAAGAGTGCGCACAGGACAGCACAGTGTGTGGTTGCACAATTAATTGAACGAGAGTGTACGTATATATATGCACATCACTGTTGGGCGCTGTAGGCAACCCGCAAAAGCACCGCTTCTAAGGCAGATTCATCGTGTTGGGTGGTCAGTGATATTTTGCAAACACCCGCTCCGTGCTTTCGGTTTCCTTCTGACAGAAGCTGCCCAGACACTAGTACCGCGTTCTCCCGCGTTATGATACAATCCGCTTCGTTTATACCGGAGGTCGGCATGTATTTACATAAACATCAATATTTGTGAAGCAAAGTTGACACCGTACAGCGTGGCTTCAAATTAATACTGAGCGTCTTAGTTGTTGTGAGTTGAAGCAATAGCAAGGGAGCATTGCGCGGATACCGGTCTTACCGTTGATCGAAAATTGACCCCCGTGACCCCCTCACTGAGAGCGGTGACGTAATATGAATAGACATGACAGTATTAGAACTCGGTATTGTCTATTAGTCATCAGCATCGTAGAAGTAGATTAAAAGACAAACTTTAAAAAGAAAGTGAAGCACATCTAAATTTCTATTGATTTACTCATGGACAAAACGATTAACTCCGATTCCACTACACACAAATGGCTTACAATGCTGGCGGACTACCAATCCAGATGCGAGTTCTGGAGCATTGGGTATTGCAGACCTGCTAGCTTATGCGTAGGAGATGGTGCTGGTGGAGTACTGGCAGAGCGACCCCGACGGACCGGCGCCCAACTTCTTGGGCTCGGCCGAAGTGGAGCCCTGCGACCACTGGCACACGTCCACCTTCTTGCCTTGATCTTGATGTTCTGGAGCGTGGCCTGGTCGCCCCAGTTCTTGTTCACCGTCACGAGGCTCACCTTGCCGTTCACGGCCAGCACGTTCGTGAGGCTCACCTTGCGAGACTTGTCGCCGCACGTGCCGCACGAGCGGTAGAGCTTGCCGAAGTCCTGCGCGTAGAAGCCCTCGATGGAGACCGTGCCCAGGCCGTTGTGCTGGATGACCTTGTCGTCGGCCGAGCGCGCGCCACCGCCGATCACCTTGGTCACGCTGCTGGCCGAGCCGCCCTTGATGCTCAGCGCGTCCTCGCACACGTCCTCCCACCACACGTTCTGGATCGTGCAGCCGTTCTGCTCGCAGTGCACGCCCTCCATTTGGTCCTTGCCGATGATCACGTTCTTGAGCGTGGCACCGGGCTCCACCATGAACACGGCCGTCTGCCACCCGCTCTCCTTCTGGCCACCGCACTTGACGTTCGAGCGCGCGTACGTCTTCATGCCACCGTCGAATGTCTGGCCCTTCTTGACCGTGTACGGCTCCTTCAGGTAGACCGTTCCCTTGCTGGCAGGCCACGACCCGGTGGGCATGGGGGGCGGCCTCGGAGCGCATGGAAGCGCCCGAGGCGACGGAAACCACGGCGGCGACTGCGACGGTGAAGACGGAGATGACGTTGACCATGTTGAGGATGGAGTAGTTGAGTATCGAAGTTTGACGGTTGGTTACTTGGTTGCTGGTCGGTAGCTTGTAGCGAAGAGCGAAAATTGAATAATGAGGTGAAGTGAGAGTGTCTTGTTCTCAAATATCGCGACGACGGCAGCTGTTAGTAGGGTGTCGTCGAGGTGCAACCAGGAGTCGGTTGGGCTGTCAGTCACCAAGAAAGTGGTAAACGTTAATGCAATGGGGACAAATCATGTCGTCGAGATCCGTTGCCGTGAACGCCGGCTCCTGGACGCCAGATGTAGAGGTGACAACAGCAGTAGAGAGTTCGTTGGATCACTTGACGTCTACAGTCGGCTGCAGATGGACACGAACATGACCACTGTGTAACACCGTGTGTTCGAACGCCACATGTGACTAAATTGCCTGCCTCGTGTCCAGCTTATGCGGTTCGTCCATACGAGGTGGCAGCCAAACCCTCCCGTTGCAGTACATGTCGCCTTGTACGCTACAAGTAGCCAACAACCGTAGTTTATTTTTAATACCAAAGTATGCATGCAGAACTAAGACACATTTACTTGGTGCATACCCTTTTGCCGACGGTTTTGAGTAACCTTTCAAGATCGGATGCTGTCTGAAGGAAGGTCGGTCAAGGATTAGCATCGGGTGGCGACTACAGCAAAATTGCTAAGAGAACGGACAGCGAAACCATCGTTTGATCGCTGCGGCATCGTTGGCCCCCACGCACGGAGTGTGTGGACGGATGAAGCCTTGGAGGGCGATTTTAGGTCGATTACGCACTCAGACTCTGACTGCGTCACAACGTGGCTCGTGAGAGGGGCCAATTTTCATCTCGTTGTCGCCGTCAACTTGTCGGTACCGAACACAACGGAGACTTGATATCTGCCGGTTGCGCCGAAACTTCGACGCTCTAGCACCCCACAGTCGACTAAAAGACCTGTGTAGACTAATTACTCGCTGGTGATCGAGTGATTAAAACAACTTAAGATGGCAAAAACTCCGACGACGCTCGATCCGAGAAGGCCTCTTTCGTGACCCTACAGTAACAGTTTCGGGTCTCACGAATTGTTTACGGTAAATCTTGGTCGATTTGTGAGCGCGAACGAAAACAACCAATTAAGACGCGAAAGAGTGCGCATAGGACAGCACAGTGTGTGGTTGCACAATGAATTGAACGAGAGTGTACGTATATATATGCACATCACTGTTGGGCGCTGTAGGCAACCCGCAAAAGCACCGCTTCCAAGGCAGATTCATCGTGTTGGGTGGTCAGTGATATTTTGCAAACACCCGCTCCGTGCTTTCGGTTTCCTTCTGACAGAAGCTGCCCAGACACTAGTACCGCGTTCTCCCGCGTTATGATACAATCCGCTTCGTTTATACCGGAGGTCGGCATGTATTTACATAAACATCTATATTTGTGAAGCAAAGTTGACACCGTACAGCGTGGCTTCAAATTAATACTGAGCGTCTTAGTTGTTGTGAGTTGAAGCAATAGCAAGGGAGCATTGCGCGGATACCGGTCTTACCGTTGATCGAAAATTGATCATCCCGTGACCCCCTCACTGAGAGCGGTGACATAATATGAATAGACATGACAGTATTAGAACTCGGTATTGTCTATTAGTCATCAGCATCGTAGAAGTAGATAAAAATACAAACAATAAAAAGAAAGTGAAGCACATCTAAATTTCTATTGATTTACTCATGGACAAAACGATTAACGCCGATTCCACTACATACAAATGGCGAGCAATGCTGGCGGACTACCAATCCAAACACGAGTCCTGGAGCATTGGGTATTGCAAACCTTCTAGCTTATGCGTAGGAGATGGTGCTGGTGGAGTACTGGCAGAGCGACCCCGACGGACCGGCGCCCAGCTTCTTGGGCTCGCCCGAAGTGGAGCCCTGCGACCACTGGCACACGTCCACCTTCTTGCCTTGATCTTGATGTTCTGGAGCGTGGCCTGGTCGCCCCAGTTCTTGTTCACCGTCACGAGGCTCACCTTGCCGTTCACGGCCAGCACGTTCGTGAGGCTCACCTTGCGAGACTTGTCGCCGCACGTGCCGCACGAGCGGTAGAGCTTGCCGAAGTCCTGCGCGTAGAAGCCCTCGATGGAGACCGTGCCCAGACCGTTGTGCTGGATG